TGCGCCTTTTACCAAAATTCCTTTAAATGTTTGGTCTACAAAAGCCCCCTACTTTGGAAAAGTTTCGAGAATATCGATTGAAGAACGTCGGTCGTGGCTTATGTGCAATGGCTCTTAAACGCTTTCTGTGTATGATAGATTTCTTCACAGAAACGAAAAAACAAAAGTAAGAAACGATAGAGAGTGAACCAGAGATTTTTTTCCAGAAATAGAAGAAGAGAACGGAAAAGAACAATATGACATTGATATATTAGATATACGATAGATATTGCTTCTAAGTTTGAAATTTTTTTTACTTCTGATTCAAATGTTCACTGCACTCTCTATGAAATTACTCTATATTCTGTCAACTTGACAGATTAAAGTAAAACTAACTAGAATGTACACCTCTCCGTTTTCTATGTCAGTTTGAAGTACACAAGATATACTAAACACTTCTATAATACACATTTCTCTACCGATCTGGATAAAAACTATGTTTTTGTGATAAATGTAGAATGGATACGAAATTTTTTAATAACAGCCTCATACTCAAATACTTAACATAATTTCTTTCAGTTATTAATTTTTTCCTGAGCCAAATAATGTCAGTAAGCTGAGAAAGCGTCAGGACATATACTTCAAAGCGTCCTCTACAAACCGGGAAGGCTTGAATATAAAATACGAAAGCTTGAAAATATCGCTGGTTTTTGGCTCAGCAAAGATTTTTTCACCTCACCTTACGACTAGTTTCGGCTAGTTCTGCGAGCATTTTGAAGCAAAACTCTGAGTGCAAACGTTGTTCAGAATCGAATTTTGGAGTCCATAACGAGAGCTGTTTTTTAAATTTTCTGTTTTTAATTTTTAAATTGAAAAATACAAAATTTTAAAATTTTAAAAACCGTAAAATTTAATTTAAAAGTCAAAAACAGAAAATTTTAATAAAAGCTCTCGTTAGGAACTCCAAAAGTCGATTTTGAACAACGTTTGCACTCAGAGTTTTGCTTCAAAATGCTTAGTTCGGGCGAAACTAGCCGCAGGGTTAAATAATAAAATCAAAAAAACAAAAAAAATTTAAAAAGTTCCAAGTAGCTTTTGGGACTTTTCCAGCTACTTCGGACTTTTTCCGCTATTTTGGGACTTTTTCCGCTACACTCTAATGCAGTTACTTGATACAGTTACCATTATGTTCTATAACTCCATGTGCATCAATCAAAAAGTTAGCATTTTGGAAATGTCAATCATGAAACCAGTAGAAAAATGCATTCCATCTAAAACAGTTTGTCTGTCATCAAATGATCAGCCATGGTTTACACAGGGATTGCGTGTTTTATATCGAAGAAAAACCCGCTTATTCAGAAAGTTAAGAAACAACTCTTCTTCTTCTCTTCGAGAAAAATATCCGACAGCGTGTAGCGATTTTGAGAAGAATGTATGAATGAGAAAGAAAAATATTTTGAACGAATCAGAAAAACAAATGCATCAAGTAAATCGTGATGGAAACTTGTAAAATCACTCGTTAAACGATCATGTTCCACTAATAGTGCAGTTTTGAAAGATGAGAATGGGCTTGAGCGCTTTAACGACATTCAAAAAGTCAATATCTTAAATAAACATTTTACAAACATTTCTAGTATGACTGACATCGACTATAATAGAATAATTCCGCCCAATACTTTGCTCTCGAACGTGCATACTCTACATTTATTCACCATATCAATGGGTGAAGTTGAATAGTGCTTAAGTAGAGTCAATCCAAATAAAGCAACAAGCTAAAACATTACATCAAGAATATTACGAGAAGCGGGTCCAATTATCGCGGATGACTTTACACACATTTGTAATTTCTCTCTGTCAAATGGTACTTTTCCAGAGAAGTGGAAGATGGGAGTCATACATCCGCTTTTTAAAGACGATGGCAATAGTTTGCCAACTAACTATAGACCAATTAGTTTGCTCCTGGCAATCTCAAAAGTTTTAGAGCGCTTAGTGTTCAATAAAGTGTACGAACATGTCAAGAAAAATAAGTTATTAACTCCTTCTCTGTCTGACTTTGTCCAGGGCGACTCAACAGTAAACCAACTGATTGATTTAGTGCATGAAATAAGTCAAAACTTAGACAACGGCAATTTCACACTTGCTGTTTTCCTCGGCTACTCAAAAGCATTTGACAAAGTGTGGCACCCTGGATTACTCTACCAGTTACAGAAAAAGGGAATGTCAGATGCCTTATTAAAGTGATTTTCAAGCTACTTGACGAATAGGCAGTGTGTAACAGTTGTGAATGGACAAAGATCTACAGCTTTGAGAATAAACAGAGAAGTTCCCCAAGGATCCATTCTGGTGCCTCTTTTCTTCCTTCTGTTTGTAGATGATATAGTTTTAAACGTGCAATCTCAAACAATACTATTTGCAGATGATACTTCGCTGTATCACCACTCTAATGACATGATTTCTGTCTCAAACATAATCAATGCGGCCTGGTGAGATTGCAGCGGTGGTCTGACTTTTGACAATTATCTTTAAATCTGAGAAAATGCGTAGCTATGCAGTTTGGCAAAGAAAAAGTTATGCCACAGTTGCTTCATAGTGCTTTTACTTTAAAGTTTGTTGATAATCACAAACATCTGGGAGTGCATCTAGCAAAACTTCTTGACTGGTCACTGCATGTTTAAAGAAATATGCAAAAACTGTAACTACATTCTCTACCTAATGCGAAGAAACAAACATATTTTGAGTACATCCAGTCTCGATCAAATTTTTAAACCTTATGCTATGCCAGTAATAACCTATTCGGACACAGTTTATGCTTGCTTGAAAGATTTGCATCGAACAACAAACGTTATTCAGCACGTTTGAGAGATAGTACACAAGAGAAATAGTATTGAGAATTCTTGAATGGACTCCTATTGAAACTTTATATGCCATGACTAAAATTTTATTATTATTTAAAATAAAAAGAGAGCTCTCACCATCGTTCCTTTTTCAAAGGATACCAAATTATCCCACTGTTGCTATGACACTGAGGTCTCGGATTAACGGCCAACTTCACATTTTTCATACTCGGACAGAAAAATTCAAATCCACATTCTTTCCTTGGGTGGTTAGGCAGTGGAATGAGTTACCTGTTGAATTGTATCAAACTATTAAATTATCTCGCTTTCGTTCAAAGATACATGATTTTCTGCACCTACATTACAAATGGTCACGATTCAAACACGTTGACCGAAAGCATGAAATGCTTTTTAATCAAATGCGTGTTGAATTTTCTCGATTGAATTTTGATTTGCATATTAGGCACTTAGTAAATAATCAGTATTGCGCATGCAGCAAAGTAGAAACAGTCAAACATTTTCTTCTGGAATGTTCACACTATCGCCATTTGCGATCTAAGTTCAAAAATGACTGGCATAATATAGCACCTGGATTATCCTTCACACTTAAACACATTTTTCTATCAGAAAAACTAGAAAACATTGATGACCTCACAATTATCCAGCTACATAAAACAATCGTACAGTATATCAAAATTACCCTACGTTTCTGAATACTACTTATCTCACTTCTGTTTTAGACATACCGTCAGTCTCTCATGCACCTGCTTTTCTTCATAGTTCGTTTCTTCGCTTTCAAATGCACCTTTTCCCTCTTTTCGTTTTTTTTATTTTTTGTACAATGTAACATTGACAAAACAAAAGGATATAATGGGTTCGCCTCTTTCTTCTTGTTCTGTTCTGTTTCATTTTTTTATTTGTACACCACATCATATTTATTAAATAAAGCTTATATCATGATAAAATGTTTGCTGAGCTAATAACTATTTTCAAGTTTTGAATTTTCTCCTCAAGTCTTTCCGGTTTGTAGAGGACACTTCGAAGCATATGTTTGCAAGTTTCGGCTTACTGGAATTATTTGGCTGAAAAAAAATTAATTACTTAAACAATGTTGTTAAATTTTCGACTTACCAGACTTACGGAGAGACCAAAAACGAATTCTAAAATGTTTAAGGTAGTCCATATTGTAGGCCGTGAAATTCTCTGTCAGATGTCCTATTGTTTGAATTTTTTCGCTGCGTTACTATTCTACAAATAAGACTTTATGCTAGTAGAGTAGGCTAACTTAACGTTAATTAGTACTAATTAGTCAATACCAGGAAGGAAAGAACAAAAATTCTTGCATATTTTCTTGTAATAAATATTCTCCACACATTTCTCTATCGATCTAGAACCAAGCTTTTGTGGTGAATGAAGGATGGGCAGAAATTTTTTTAATAATAATCCCTTGTTCAAAAATTTAATAATATTTTTTTTAAGTAATTAATTTTTCTCTCTGCCAAATAATGTCAGTAAGCCGAAAAAACTTCAGTACATATACTTCGAAGTGTCCTCCACAAACTGAGAACGTTAAAGAAAAATCGAAATGGGGGACGCTCCCCCCCCCCTCAATGTTCTCTATTGAACTACGCTAGAATCAATTCTTCATGTAAAAAAACTGAAGGTTTTATGGAGATTTCAAAATAGGGCAAAAAATCCGAATGATATTTTATCATAATGTATTTAAAGTTTTGAACGTATTATTAATTTCAGGTATTCCAACGCATTGCCTTAGTTTAATCTCATTTATGAATAGGCGTATGTGTCGTTATCCTGTTAGTATATTTATGGTCTCTCTATCGTTAGTAAACATCATCATACTGGGTGGTCCAGTTATGATGCAATGGTTAAACCATCGATTATTAATTGGATTTGTGGTAACGGGTAGCCGTTTTGTATGTGGTCTACATGTTTACATCGATATTGTTGGCTCATCTATTAATTCATGGTTGATATTATTTATAGCAATTGAACGTTATCTATCAATAGCAAAACCCTTGTTAATACGCAAACGATTTAAGCGTGAACATGCTTATATCATTATTTTCATAATTGTGTTTCTAGCTGCACTTGTACCCATCAGTCTTCTTATGATTGGCTATCATATACCAAAATGTTTACTAGTCTATTCTCGAACGTATCAAATAATTGGCTCGATTGAAATATGTATTGTTTATGTAATACCATCAATGTTAATTTTTATGCTTAGTTTAATTAGTATACGTAAATTACGTTATCGTTTAAAAAATAATTTAGGGAGACGAATTCATATAAGTGTTCTATTAATTATAGTATCTTTATCATTTACTGCCCTTACGCTGCCATTTCAAATTCATTGGTATATCTCTATTGTACAATCATTCATACCAACAAATTTTCGTTTAAATCTTTTCAATATCTCATTTCGATATTTAACATTAACGATACGAAATATGAATTATACGTTTAATTTTTTTCTATATTCAATTGTTTTTCTAAAAGACACGTTTGTTATATTACATTGCGAACATTTTCAATCAAAATTAACATTCATAGGAAGAAAAAAAAAGGACAACAGAGGTGATCATCACGGCGTTACTGTTTCATTGAGAGACATACGCACGAATGATTTTTATGCATTGTGTAGTGGCAAAGATGCAAATGACAGTAATAATACTCATTGTGCACATTATTATCAATGGAATTCTGGTAGTGGACATACAAAACAAATGAAAAAAAATTGTAGACTTCAAGTAATTAAAAATTAGAAACGGTAAAACAAAACCAAAAAAAGGGTGTACTCTATTTTTTGATAAATAAAAAAGTATTGCACACGCAGGGGACTGGTAATGACGAAGGTATTTTTTACAAACAATTCGATGCATCGACGTAAGACTTTGCGATCTATCATCAGTTCAAATTTAAGGGTATGCTCAACCCCTTTTTTTGAAAAAAGTCGAATTTTGAGCTGAACATAGCCTATGTAGAGGAAAGTGGGCTGCAAAGTGAGCACTCCACGAAATTTCTTCAAAAAGTTATGCATTTTTGAATCCTGCAGAAGTGATCAATGTATTAAGTCAAGACCTAATTCGTATAAAGAACAGTCTGATAAATAAATATCAGTCATTAACTTTTTCTACTAAAGCAAAATGAATGCTTGTCCATCAACTTTCTCCGCTTTTTCTTAATAATCTACCGTTAAATAATGCTCCACACGTTAAATATTTAGGAGTGTATTTGTCGATCCATCTTGGGCCATTCATATTGAGAGACTGTGTTCAAGAGATTCTCATGCGTTATAACCGTGGTATATGTACTAAATGCACACTTGATTAGATTTACAAAGGGTATATTATACAGTTATTTACCTACGGTACGTCAGTTTTCTCCTTGAACAGTGTAACAAATATTAAGTTATTAGAGTATCCAATATCCAGCTGCTCTGACAATCCTAAACATAATGAAAGGATCGTGTCGTATAATTGCTCTAAACATACTTGGTTGACTAGAATTAAAAGACCGATACAGAACAATGCATTTATTGACATTTGCAAAAACAATTCATGGCTTTGCTCTGTCATATATTCCAGGCCACTATAGAGCCAAAGATAAGAATATAAGTCATAGTTTACGAAGTAATAATCGAAATATAAATTCCTAATTCATAGTACACAACAGTTTAAACAGTCTTCTCTTAAAGAGCAAAACAGTAAAGAAGGGAAAAAGGAAAGGAGTAAAGTAAGAAGTAAGAGAGTAAAGAATTTTGAAATGCTTGCTTAATTACGGATATTCCGGATGTACACCTTTTAACTATTAAAAATTTTCAAACTAATAAATAAAATTAATACTGAATGAGGATCTATTAAAGGTTTCAGATATTTAAAGTCATCTTCTCGGAACGCTGCAAGTTTATATAAGAGATTAAAAGCGGGTTTCTCCAACTGAATTTTTATTTATACAAATGGAATCTAATCAGTTCTCCTGATTGAGCATGTGATGAGCCAGAAACTATCGAACACTTCCTTCTGCAATGTCCGAAATATAATTCCAAGAGAAATACTCTGTTCAGCAAGCCGAGCTTTTTGAATGAAAACACCAAACTACTTCTGTTTGATAGTAAGACCATTTTCTCTCAAAGTGCATGCACAAATTGTCAAAATTTTACAAATAGGTATCCGAAGAACGAACGAAAACGTTTGCCGTTCGTTTTAGGTTTTCTCTAAACGTGAATGCCAAAACATGTTGGCGTGCTTTGAATGTGAATCTTATTTTATACCAACGGTGTTCATATTGTGCGGTATGAAAATTATTTTGAGGTTAACGTACGCATAGATTAATTTTATTCTCTGAACGTAAATAGTTGGATTTATAGAGCAATATTAAGTTTAGCATATTTACAAATAACATGAGGGCTGCGCGATTACAATTACAAAATGTAAAGTTCATGCATTGCCATTATCTGTAGAATTAAGAATTCTAGAATTCTGAACTTTACATACATGTAAAGTTGCATATTCACGCTCACCCTCACACCCACACCCACACTCACCCCTAGAATTAAGAATTTTAGAATCCTGAACAAGTAAAGTTCAACTTTACATACACGTAAAGTTCAGAATTCTAAAATTCTTTCTACAGATAATAGCAATGTTTGAACTTTACATTTTGTAATTGTAATCGCGCTCGTCTGAATAACATGGGTAAACGTGATCGCAAATCGCTAGAGATCTGCAGTTTACAGCAATCAAAAGATGACAGTTTAAGCTATATTTTCACAAGCAAACGTCTTTCGAAAACATTAAGAAGGTTGATTTTTAACAAGATCTTTGGCAAGCCAGCTCGGATTTCTAGGAACCGACATAGTACTCAATCGTTGTTTTCCCGGAGACAGATAGCCCGAAGTGCCCTCTACACCCCTAGACAAAACAGATCGACATCCTAAAGACTTTGCTGTGTGGGTCGCATTAGAACGACATGTCGCTCTGTTTTATCCCCGGTCTTAAACGAAAATATAGAACGGGGCACAAAAACAGCATCGTGAATGATAAGTAACTTTTATGAAAGTATTCAGTCTATCATAGCATAGGATGAGATGCTCAGAAACACAAGCTTATATAAGTCCTTTAAAGTCAAGTTTTCCGTAGTGATCGTAAATAAATTTCTAAGCCATAATTTTCTTATTAAATCATGAACAAGTTATGTAGAACTGATCAAAGTCGAAAAGATAACTGCTTTTTTCCTTTAGGCAAACGGGAACGATGCCCCCCCCCCTAACAGAGCGACACTCTGGAAAAAACAAAAGAGTTTCAAAACCCTAGTGGAAACCTATCTGAGGTGGAATATTCCATTTTGGTGTATTTTTATTTTTGAGTGAGTCCAATCAAGCTCAACCTTTCGCCAAATATTCTTCTATATGTGCTCTGTCATTGACCACAGCGCCAATTAGTGTTAGCGATTCTGCATTGTGCTTGAGATTTTCCAAAAAGCCATGGTCTTGGGAGTTTCAGGACTCCAGGACTGGTACTCAGTAGCTGTTGGTAGCCTTGAAAACGGATGGACTATAGGCAATGATCATGCTAAGCCTCGTGGCAATATTTGTTTTCAGAAAGAGTTCTAAAAATCTACCGAAAAACGACTTTTACGAAAACTTGCGTTTTCAGGCTGTTTTCACCTAATATTGAAAAATTCACCAATCACTCAATAAACATCAGAACGAGATCAAAATTTCAAGATATGGTTAATTTCCTCCGCTAAACCTGATTATACGATCGAAAAATCAGAAAAAGCATATTTTTGTTCTTGAATTTTTTGGAAAATCTTAGGGTTTTGTAACGTTTCTTTTGAGATCTCCTATAAACAGTATATAGTATAGCTTAAATACTCGCCTTCTGAAATTCTGAACTCGTTCTGATATTTTTTGAGTGAATAGTGAATTTTTCAATATTAGATGAAAACAGTCTAAAAGCAATAATTTTCGTAAAACTGGCTTTTCGGTAGATTTCTAAAATTTTTTCTAAAGACAAATATTGCCACGAGACTCAGCACGGTCGATTACCGATATTCCATCCGTCTTCAAGGCTACCAATAGTCACCGGACGCAAGTCCTGGGACCTGTTTCAGAAAACTCTTCTGAGAATAATTTTTGTTATGAAAACATATCTCCAAGTCTCCTCTTTTGAATAGGAAAAACTGGAGCTCTCTAGCTCTTTTCTATCAAAAGTTATTACTGAATTAATAGCACATGTCCGCCTGCTCTAGCCAAAATTGCCCACTGTGGCAGAGCTTTGTTCATCGTTTTACAAATGAGGCACTGTCTAGTATACTAGAAAATAGTGTCCTTAGGTTCATAGGTCCTCTCAAATTTATTAATGAGTTCCAGCTATTTATTGTTTTACGAGAATATTTGCGACCTGATCATTTCTTCTTTTAAATTATCCGACTTCGGCATATGAAGAATAATATCTTTGGAACAGCTGGTGCCAGAGAAATGCTGCTTGTCCCTTCGACAAATCTCGCGTAGATTTTTGGGTCTACGCGAGTGGTAGTAAAAACATTTAGTTTCTAGGTGTTTGTCGATGAGTTTCGCGTTTTCTTTTACTGAATCAATCAATTCTTTCGATCGATAAAGATACCTAAAATTTTTTAACATTCGTGCATTAAATCGCCATAATTCTGTCGTTTGAAACAGAAGACACAGATAGAAGCGTTCAGTCTCCGACATTAACAGACAGAATATTAACAGTACATTTTCCAGATGTAATGAGACAAATTTTCTCTTTATCGATTTTCCATATTTATTTAACACATTTGTCCCATCCCGTAGAGAAAACGGCGTAATTATTTATGTCAGAAAGCATTTTTGACGTTTCTTTCGTATCTTCTTTACCATCAATATTTTTATCATTCCAGATTAACGTTATATTTGTCGTTGGTAGTGATATTTCTTTCATCTTTGAACTTGTCTAAGGAGCACATGATTCAATGAAAATCATCTAGTGAGCGCTGTTTATCCATGCAGTTCGGATATACAGTCGAATAATCAGGGAGAAGAATGGTGTGTTATAGGGCTGTGATAGTTACCAGTTGCCGTTACTCGATTAGGATAATTGTTGAATAGTTGTCTTTCTTGGTAACGGTAACGAGTGATCAGTTACCGTTACAAGGAACGATAACGACCAGCTACAAGTAACGGTAACGGTCGAGCATGTGTTCAACAGTTACCGTTACCGCCGTTACTCGGTAACGGTAACTGATAATTAGCCGTAAGACCTTACACACTTCTGATGGTCGATGTTGGTCAACATTTTACTGTACATGTAGCCGTAAGAATTTATACACTTCTGACCTCGTTAAACACATGCTCGACAGTTGCCGGTACTTGTAACTGGTCATTATCGTTACTTGTAATTGTAACGGCTTACCCGTTACCGTTATCAGGAATGATAACCGACCAACAGTTACAGGTACTGTAACGGTAATGGTAACTGTCACAGCCCTAGTGTGTTGGCTACATTGCAAGAATTTCGTTGTGATGAAATATCACGTCATTTACTAACGATGCTGATTAAAAAAATTCGAAATAAAAGAAAATGCCGTTATTCGCTACTTGGAACTGGTCGACCGGGTCATTATGCTAAGTTAGGTTGGAAAATCGCTCATGCACCACAAGCGGTGAGTACTTTGGTTAGTATTTACAGAGAGAATCCATATCCATTGAAATTTGCTTGTTCCACATCTGCATTTTGAACACTTGCTCGCTTCGCATTGGAGAAACGAATCAGCTCTTATACATGTTATATTAGGCAAAGGATTGTGTTAAACAAAAAGAATAAAAGCTATTGGATTTCAGAATGGCAAGCGAACGATTTTAAAACAGAAAAATGATTATTGAAAATAGCTGTAGACGAATTAATAAGACGTAATGATACAAAAATTGCTGAAACTTTCTTAAACGGCAGCTAAGTCGTGACTAATCGTACTATTTACGTAAAAATATTTTTGACGATTAACATCATATCGATAAATAGAATCCTGATCCTCTACTTCCTTTATACTACAGATGACAGACTTTGAACATTATGGCATACAATCGAAAAACTGTTACTCACAACCGAAGGAATACTGTTCTGAAAAAGTAGTACATTGGGGATACTGTTTTTATTTGATTTCTTGTTGTTCTTTTGTATCAATAAATCAATCTTTGTTGCAGCGCTCTCCTTAAATGATTAATTCTGGGATCGTCTGTATAGAATTGAGCATTTCACAGCATCTCTTTAGTGAAATCAAACTCAACAATACCCACTTTCCTATCAGGTTCGAATGCTTTTCTCATTATATAATTATATTTAGCAATAGATAACACAATACATTCGGAATCCCGCCGTAACAGAATTGTAAATACATTTATTGTTACATTAGGATATAAACGTTTAACTATTTGTATAAGAAGTTTCAGTTTATTTAGAACAACTGTTGACATGGCACTCACAAAGGACATATTATTCGTTTCCAGTAAGAATGTTATTTCGTCGGCATCATTCAGCATATAATCTAATGAGCCTTCTTTTATCAAATGTGTAACTTGACCTAATGAACAGCCAGGTACTGTTAATTTTTCTCCTTAAATTTATCATCAAGATCTGATTTTGATATCCATCGTAAAATTTTAGTTTCTACTAAGAGAATTTTAGATTCCATTGGAGTATAATTTCTCCTGCAACATGTATATAAGCCTATGTCTCTGAGCTTGACGTCTAAATCCCGCTTTTCATATGTAAATCAACTGACATGATTGTCACTCGTTATTGCAAGTTCTCTGTAACTGCTTATAAATTCTTTTCTTTTCCAGATTTATTATTAATATTTGTTTTGTCCAACGACACGTCACGTTATCATCATCCTTAGCATACTGAATTCGATTCATTGATTTCAAAGCTAGAAAAAAAGAATACAGGAACTATTAATTCGTCATATACGGTCAAGAAAGTAAACATTACTTTGCGAATTTTGCTCCATTGCAATAACATATTCGAAAAAATTAATTTTACCCGAATGTTTCAGATCAGCTTTTCGAAATGCACGCATAGCATGTTTCGAATGTGGAAATAATAACTTATAAGCTATAAATAGAAATGACCTCTAGTATGCATATTCTAATAGAAAGTGTAATAAGAAGAGACTGCATACCATGTAAAAATTCTTTTTTTGTTATATAACCAGTTGGATGATTTAAACGAAAATCTTGATAATATTGTTCAATTTTATCTTTAGAACATCGCGTTTTTGCTTCCAATTTCATCAGTCGTTCATCACTCAATCTCTCTGGTAATACTGCCGTATACTCCTGTCCATGTATACCTATTGAATTACCCATACTTGAAACTGCAGTTAGTGTGCTTGTGTTAGTAGAATTCTGGACTCTATTTATATGAAAGATGGTCGCAATAGTCAATGAATGAAGAAACATGAGTAACGAAGAGGTTATGGCTGGTTGATTTTACGAACAATTATTAAAGTACCTACCGAACAGCAGATCTGAATAAGGAGTTAGAAAGAAGGAGAAAAAATATCGCCTCGGAAGATAAGAATTTGAAAAAAAGAGTCTAATATGACTCAGTGCATTCACATGCAATCATGGATGATCAAACAAAAAATATATACCACAATATCAAAATATCCGTTGAACTATGAAGTGCTTGCCAACAAAATTGGAGAAAAGAAGAGGTTTCATCGACTGCTGCGGTCGGTTTTCAACGGGATAGTCATGAAGTACGATATAACCCTTTTATAAAATGTGATGTTACCACATATATGTTACACATATACCAAACTAACGAAGGAGCATTTTTAAGTGCCCCCTCGCTTTTTCAACGAAACCTAGTGGATCATAGGTTAAAGACGATGCTGATTCCGAATATGAATATGAAAGCTGCCATTAGGGCTTCCAAAGATTTGGTTCTCTGGAAAACCAGTTTTTTAGAAACTCTGAAAAACAATCAAAGCTTTCTTAATGAGCCATGCTTGTAGCCCGCACATTTCTGATTAAAATGAGATCTCTCCTAACTCTACATGACCTGTCTTCGTAAAGTTATAGAATTACAAGAAAAACTCTAAATTAATTTCTTCTTATTTCTGTAGCTTCGAGTTGACAATAAATATTTAGGGCTTTTCCTGTAAACTTTATAACTTTGCAAAGAAAGGTCATGTAGAGTTGGGAGAGGTCCCATTTTAATCAGAAATGTGCGGGCTATAGGCATGGCTTATTAAGAAATGCTTTGGTTGTTTTTCAGAGTTTCTGAAAAACTGTTTTTTCGGAAAACCGGATCTTCGAAGCCTTAATGGCAGCTTTCATATTCTTATTCGGAATCAGCATCACCGATAACCTATAACCCACTAGGTTTCGTTGAAAAAGCGAAGGGGCACTTAAACACGTTTCCTGGTAAATCCAGACCAATTCTTGTTAGTCATGATTCAATCAGCACTTCTGGATAAGAACATTTACTGTCAAGCGTTGAATAATAAAGAGAAGTTACTAACTTAAATGGGGAAAATGTGTTTTGATCACCAAATTTCTTTCTATCGAAATGATCACCAAAAAATAACATTTTTGATCACCAAATCAATTAAAAAAATTTAAATTAAACAAAATATTTATTCAAGAAGAATATATAGCAATTTAATAGAAAATTAATTGTAAATTAATTAGTGGACAGACAAGAAAAAGAACATAAAGAAAATATGCGTAAGAAGAAGTATGAATAGAAATATGAAAGATATATGAAATATCCTATATCTTTTTTGTCACAGTCCTGTACACTTTTTTTTCACAGTCTTGTACACATCTGTTTTTGTCCCGTCCTCTTCTTAATATTTACTAACTATATTTCTACGTACATACATACACGCACATGTACGTGCGCGTGCCGTACCTCTTGCAAATATTTTGTACTTAAAATTTAATAAAATTTCCTAAAATTATCGAAATTCAAATGCAAAGCCAAATGATTTATGACAACTACAACAATATGAGTCAACGGGAAAAGATATGTAACGGGAAAAATCTCCAACATATGGTAAATCAAACAGAAAAAGAAAACCAAGATCGCGCAGCATCATTAAAACGTCATCTAACAAATGATATTGAAATAATCGAAATGGATGAAGAAAATCATACAAATACTGACGGAGACAACTTTCGAAAACAAATAAATAAATAATAGAAATTTTAAAAAAACGAACAGAAACAACAACGATACGGGCTATCGATTTACCGTGAATAAAACCTACACAAATTCAAATATTAATGAAAACAGAATCAGACATCAACAACAGCAACGAAATGATTTAAATCTTAACGACAGTAATAATAAAGAACAGAGTTCGACATTGACAGATCAAAACTCAGTTCAAATGTCCAATCATGCTCTAAAATATGCGGCTGAACATCATCTTCCTCCATTAAAAATGGAATGTAATCCCAAAGTACAAGACCAAAACAAGGTTTACACGTAGTCGTTGAATTAATGAAATTTATTAAAACCGGTTTTCTGCGGAACTATCCATGCTATTCAAAACCTTTTCACTTCGATCTATGGTAGATTGATTCGGTAGGTGATCTCCAAGCAACGGTAAAATCAACTGGCCTGTATGTGTATTTGTGTAAAAGAGAATGCTGTCCAACAGAATTGAACAATATTAAGATTACCCCACGCCCACCGAAACATTTACCTGCTCAGCACACTGAGTCGACGAATTTTTACCTTCACCATAGCTCCTCATATGCGTCAAATGCAACTCACTAGGCCATATGAAGAAATCCTGTCAAAATTCTTCATTTAATATTTGTCGAAGATATGGTGGCGATAAGAATGATCAACAAAATCATAAAGAATGTACAATCCAATGCCATCATTGCGGAGGAGATCTTTATCAGTTGACTATAAATGTCCCTTCATCTCTAATTATCCTCGTCAACTAATCAACGAATTAAAAAGAAATCCGAATAGATCACCACTCGATGTTCAGCTCTTCATACCATCAGAATATAGGAACCCGGATGAACGATTAAAATCCATCTATAACAAAACCACTCAATTTCATCAACAACAGCAGCCACAGCGTCAAAATTACAACAGGAATGATGATAGTGCAATTAACCGACTGCAGTCTTAATCATAGGGTTAAAGTACTAGAAGAAGAGATGAAAACGATCAAACAAAAGATTGACGAAGATCAAAATATAATAAAACAAAAATATAAATATCACCTTACCTCAATGAATCAAAGTTGGATGCTGATGCAACAACAAATCCATACGCAAACCGAATCTTTAAAGATAATGAACAATGTTATCGTTCAAATATTGGTTTCAACGTGCCAGAAAACCACAGAAACTATTTGTACAGTAATTACAAAATTGAAAATACAAAGTAATGTTAGTGATTACGATGAAATTCTTCAACACCTAGCCACTCAACTCTCCTTCTTAACTGAAATACAACAAGCATACAGCAACCATCAATCTTTATTAAAACAACATTCAAATAAAGAAAACGAATTATTAAATCGTACATTCGATTTTATAATAAATGATCGTAATGAATAGTACAGACTTTCGTTATTGTTTGCCTATGGTAAACATGAATCTATTAGATCAGTTCGAAGGAACTATAAGTGAGAAACAGTCACTTTTCTCTATTTTTTCTGAATGGAATAGTAGATCGAGTATTACTTAGTTGAGCAAAACCTGGGGTAAGATCAGGCCAAAAAATTCTTCTTGTAATTCTTCTGTGTAACTGTGAGAGTCTCAGTATCCAATTCTCCGATCTTGATCTTCTTTTTTCTCAAAGTTTGCACATTTTCATGTTGACAGGAGTAAGTAAACAGATAAGAAAGTTGCCGCAGATCCCTTTTTATTATTGGCATAACCAAGAAGGTAGCAACAGTTTCGGTGGAGTTTTTATTTTTAGTTCATGAAAAATTAAAAAGTACAGTTTTAGATCGAGAATCGAACTCGAGATTTTTATTCGAAAAACTTAGAATAGGAGGCGTCTACGTCCCGCTAGGCAATACACCACCTTTCACCTGTTTTTGAAAAGCATAAACAACAAAACACATTTTTTTTTGGCGATTTTCATGCAAAACACAGCAATTGGGAATGTGAGAAAAACCACACAAGTGGCAACACGTTAAATGAGTGGTTAGAGAAAGATTAGAATTATATTAGAAAGATTAGATTAGAGATGGATTAGAAGTTTTGTATTTAAAGAAAGCTACATCAAAAAGATCCACAGCAATCATCATTTTGGAATAGGTGAAGATATGAGAGGCTGGCAGATTGACAGACTAGAAGATGGAAATTCAGATCATTTTTCGGTTTTGTTTTTAATACCATGGTTATTTTCGTAAGACACAGTGGAACATTTTCCGCTATTTTCTGTCTGCTGTCTTTCCTTATCGGAATGCTTTTGTACAGAACACGGATCATGACTCATTTTTCTAAATCTTTTCATATTTTCTCGTCTCACTACATGATCGATGCAGTGAATACAAAGAAATAAAGACCTTTAGGCCGCCATGGCCACAATATCTTGTGTCGCTTGTCAGAACAGTGAATAAAAGCAAAGAAAGTTCAGACGCACTCATTTCTTAAAACACTGTGAAAATTTTCATTTCCGGAAATATATATATAAACATCGCATCAATTTATTGTTCTATGAGGTTAATAATATCTTCTCTCAATAGACATCCAGCGCATCTTCTTCTTTTATTTCATCTTCTTGATCTATTTAGTCATCGATATTGTTCTAAACGGTTATCCACAAAGCATGACTTATCGTCGTCTAAAGCTAAGAATTTTTCTACTTCCGTTCTTTTTTTCGTTCTTCCTTTGACCACATGCGCTACATGTGAATAACTCTTTAAAACAATAAATTTTTGCTATATCGATCACTAAATAGATTAAGAAGATGAAATAAAAGAAGATGCGATATACGCTAGATGTCTAATAGAGTAAAGTGTCTAATTGGAACCGCAACTAGATTTGTCTAACTTGTGACTCTAGTATCTGAGTGAGTTTTGAAACGATTTGCACCTAATTTGTGGGCTTTTGTAGCTGAAAGTTTTATCTATTTAATGATCCAAAAATGATTCCGAAATTTCCATCAGAGACGTGTGTTTAATCGGAACCATCCCGTTCAAATTACACGAGTTTTCAACGTCTCCACCATATTCTCATACAGCAACTTCATATCAACGTCCAGTATCAGGCACAAATGTTCACAATGAGATTTTCCCGTCATCACCATCAGCTACATACTATCCAATGCAACCAGTTAGTGGGATTCAACAAAGATGGTACAAATGTGAACATCCATATAATTCTAATTTGACTTATTATCATTGTTCCAAATGTACATGAATGCTATGCTATTCTTGTAGTTACAATGTTTTCACAATATCTGTCGGATCTTGGGTATGTGATGACTGTTTTATGAATGATGTTTTACTAGAAGTTGACAAAATTTAGATCTGCTTTGTTGAAAGTGAATGATTTTAGTATGTTCTTTCTGTACAATACTCACAATAAACCATGTAGTAGTACATACGCTTTCATTCCTCAGGGACTACAATATTACTAATTGGTCGGAAAAATCTCGAAATTGGGTCATTGTGTACAGACCAGTTAGTGAATTTATTTGTGCGAAATATTTTCTACTGTATTGTAATAGTTACTCCCGGAAATTTGTTTGCATTAATGTCCGCAATTTTTTTGACACCATTTTCAGTCCGAACAAAATATCTTTAAGGATTCTTGAAAAAATTTACCCTTTCAGATATGACGTAACTACAACTAAACGCCTTTTTTGGGCTTCACAGTCTAGACATCTAGACATATTATATATCATAAGAAAGCCCGTGAACTTCTCTACAAATGTACTATTTAGGAATTATTTAAAAGTTCTTTGTTCAGCTTTTAATCGCGATTGACCTTCCCAATTATAGGCTGTTTCAGATCTCAGAAAAATAAAGCGTGTGCTAAACGGAATGAGAGTTTATAAACTATGCTAGAATACTCTACAAAGATTTCTGAGTCTAGTAGTACTCGTCGGAACCATAAAAAATTCTGTATTCTCTATATATAAGGGAAAATAGTACAAACACTAAATATGACTAAAGTATGTCCCTTTTTCTTTCTCGACTATTCGAATACATAATAAATCAGTACATATTTCTACCATGCAGTTTTAAATAATAAGAAATGGAGCCTGAATAAACTGATGAAGTCTATGTTTAAAGAATTATTGGTTTAATTATTGCTTTTTTTGACCGCGTTTTGTTTTTGGAGTAATTGACGAAGTTCTGCCGGATTTTGGTGTTGTTGTGGAACCTCGAACGCTGGACTTTTCCGGTTTCCGACCGGATGTTGTAGGGATATTAAAATCTGATACTTGTCGTCGTATTGGTGGCTGATAAGAATAATAATTTTTTATTATTTGTTGACGTTCCTCATTTAATGTACTGGCCCACACACGATTATTATGTATAAATCTAAAGAGGTCATAGTAATTTTCTAACTATGATAAATGTAGGCTTTTTTACTAGTGTACGAGGCTACTAGTTCGAATTTACCTCCTTCATGAATACTTCATATTGTCTCATTTTTTTGAGCTGTTATTAATTTATCCAGTATATCAACTAAAGCCGATAATATCATTAAATCCCAGTTAGTATCACTTTTCAAAGCGAACCTGATGGCTTTATTGTCGTTGTTATAAAAAAGACGTGATGAACGATCTTGATTGACATACCCTGCAGCATTTCGTACCCCAGCCATCAAATGTTCTTGAAAACTCTCTGCTCCATATGTTATGAACCAATCATGAAAGTCTGCGCTACTTCGATAATTATCTAAATTATTGTTCTTTATTATATTCCAAACATCTTCTAGATCGATCAATCTATTCTCAAATTCATCAGCATCAGCAGCTTGAATTAATGATTATAGTAAATCGAAGATTGTTTCCAGTAACGTTTGTCGATCATCGCTCGGCACTCGTATTTTAATTAACTGACGTTCAATATTTTGTCGTACGTGACGTGTACAGTATAAATGTGTAGCAGTGGGGAACACCGTGTGTAACTGCTTTCTTAATTTCCTTCGCTGTGTCACTGCCTATCATAATTGGAGTTTCATCACCAATTTGACCTTTGATATAATGTAACAATTGTCCATAAGATTCAGCATTATTACGATAGTGCATCATGGTGGTACCAAGAAAAACCGGAGGTTTTTTTGTTCGACGAATCCGTAATGATGTGAACGGTTGGGGTCACAAAACAACGACCTAAATTGAAAGTCGTATCCAAACCTGAAGAAATAAAACGTAAATATAACAACTTGATTAATAGTGAAAGCTGCGTGGATTATATATACATAATACAGATAGTGGTGCATATGCATAAGATTTTGTGCAACATCTTCTGAGATCTTGAATCTGATAATTGTATGATAGAATAATCATCGGATTTTCTCCAGGATTCATTGATAACTGCGCCACCATACCATCACTCTTCACTAATTGTCTCATGATTGCTAAACATTCTTCAGCATTAGTTAAATTCCGTGTTTTTGTATTATAGATTTGTTTGCAATCGCGTATATGCGGTGCGTAATATGCGTATATTTATTAATGATGGTATTTCTGTGTCTTCAGCATTAATACTACTTCCTTATATATTGCTGATGGTTTCTTTTCTTGTGAATAAGCTTGATATCGAGGAAATATATTGTAATAATATTGAAAGATGTTCTGTATCTATATTTTTGGTGGTGTAACAAATCATACGCCATACATTTGGATCTGATTTGTTCGTGGCATAGAATTTAGATAAGAAAACAAACACGCTTACTTGGTTAATTCAATCGAAAACAGATAGTATACATGCATACCTTTTTAGTTTTATAACATCATTTTCTTGTACGATATAAGGTACATATTTTCTCCCACTTCTTTCGTTATGATAATACTTACCATGTTCACCTAGCCGTACGATCTGATAGTTATTATTTTTACTCTATACAAATAATGTTACTGCTGAACTATTTTGAGTCCAGGCTCCATTAACATCTTTGCCTAATGAGTGTTTATTTTGGTTGGTATATTTTATAACGAACGATGCACTTTTTGTATTAAGTTTTGGTGGTACGATACTAATAATATTTGTTTGGTACATTTATGATTTGTTTAATCATATGTGATGCACCATCAAATACTTGTTTTATTGTTGTCGCTACCATACTTTTTTGAATAGACGAATTTTTACGTTCTTTTAATGATCCACGTTTCTTTTGCTCATGCTTAGCTCTTACTTCAAAAAACACTTCTCTCCAATATAAAAATTCGTCTAAATGCTGTGAACGACGTGTTCTTCTATATTTTCGTCTTATTTTGTTAACTTTCTTTGCTAGACGAACAAGAAAAAATGGCCAGGGTGGCCTATATGTTTTAATACTTTCATATAAGCTTACTCTCTCCCACAGGGAAGACCGAAAGGAAGAAAATATATCAAAAAAATTTTGTTCGCCTAGATCGTATACTAGTACATTGAAATAATCAAAAACCGCTAACAAAAAGAACGAAAACATGCTTCAGTTTGCTTTACGAAAATAACCCTTTTCAGAGATCGCAAAAGAAGAGTAGAACAGCACAGGATAACTATCCGAGATACCTCATCTAATACTTCACTCATCCAACTCTTGGAATTATTGCTTATTCCAAAGCCGATTACTGACTTAGACTTAGAGACTAACACTCTCTATCGAATTATGAATTAAAAAGGCAACACCTCCGAACGAATTACTTCCCCTCTGTGAGTACCAGTAATAGCCTGGGAATTGTGGTAACTTACACCATGCTGCTCCTACTCTTGTTAGAATAATTACATGCGGTAAGTAGTTAGATAAGAGGATGTCCAGATCAGTAACATGTGTGCTTAATCCTTGACAGTGTACAACAAAAAACATTAATTCTCATTAACATTTTTTGGTTTATCGTTTTTCCATTTTCTGCAAACCTCTGAAATGCGCATAGACTCATTCCATTCATCAACAAGTTCAAAAATTTAATTTAAATTTGACTTCCATAATTCTTCTTAATATGCCCCGGATAGTTACATTTTGAACAATTAAAAGCCTCGGAGCTTGCAAATATTCGTCCGCATCATACAGTAATCCTCGAATTGAGATTTCCCCAGCATTTAATAACGTTTCATATTCTTCTTTTGATGTTAAATCAATTCAAAGATGACGATCTCTTCTACTGCCCAATAGTTCTTCAACAACAAAGATAAATGAATATTTTGTTGAAAATTCATTTCTAACATCATCAATTGATATGTCATAAGGGACTCTTTTAAAAATTACCGAAAATTGGGCTGGAAGGTTTTCTGGTCGTTGCATTGTAATATTTATTTCCAGAATTTTTAACGGTACATTTTCTGCTTTGCAAAAATAACAACCATTTGTGCTACCTGTGTAATGCAGATCAGGTCCCCATTCAAATCAACATACCGCAGATCAAATGCCAAAGGTTTCAAATAGTTTTTATTTTCCACTTGAAAGTTTGTTTCGATTGATTTAATCAATTCTTGAACAATGTTCGCCCCATCTTTCGAATTTTGCAATTTTAGTATACACACAAATTTAATCGATGGAAGTAAATTATCGGTAGCATAGTGAATTGTATGTGAGAAAATTTAAATTCGTTCATCTGAGTCATTTCGAGCATCATGTAATAGTTGAGGAATAGACGTTCGACTATTTTCATTCTTATTATTTTCTTTATTCATTGCTGAATTGTTAAAAATTCTGTCACCATAGACGAATTCTTTTTCCTCATTTGTATTTCCATTTTCTCGACGTGTTTTTTTCCATTTTTGTTTCATTTGGACTGTCGTCCATTCGCCGCTGTCGTTCATGTTATTAAGTTCAAAATTTGAATCACTCTCTTTTTCAAATTGCACACTCTGGTTTGTTAAGGTGTGCTTTAATATTGTTCTCCTTCGTTCCTCTATATTTTGCTCTGTCATTTCTATCTGAGAATCCGAGTCACATAAATTGCCTTTCTGTGCTAATGCGTTTGCTTGATTATACACCATAATTAAACAAAAAATGTGGTATATTTTTTCTTTAATTTAAATTTTCGGTAATTGGTTTGGTGATTAGTTTTTTCTGCTCAGTTCATATTTCTTGTTGTATATCTGTTGTGGCCAAACTTAGAATTCGGCCAGATTCCGAATTTGGCCGGCCAAAACTGGAATTCTAACTCTGGCTGGCCAAATTCAGAATCTGGTGGGCCAAAACTGGAATTCTGCTTTTGACCGGCCAAACTTAGAATCTAAACGGTCAAAACTGGAAGTCTACCTCTGGCTGGCTAAATTCAGAATTTGACGGGCCAAAAGTTGAATTTTAATTTTGACCGGGTCAGAATCGAAATTTGGAATTATTATTATTATACTAATATCATATAATATTATATTAATTATTCATTCAACATAGTTTTCTTACATTTCATGAACAATGGCTTATTCAGAGGTGTAATATGCACACCGACTTTGAATAAAATTGAGCTTTTGATCTTGACGATGATTTTTCCTATAACCCAATGTTAATGGAGCAGGTCTACCGAATTAAGAATCACAAATAAACACTGCCCCACATATAATGGGTTTTTAGGGATTTTTTTTAACTTCTTTTAGGTTTTTGTGTTCCTCTTCTGGGTTACTAGTGCATTAGTAAATAACAAGCATGCAAATAATATTATATACAATTATAATTCAAGTTCTTCAAGTAGAATTTTTCTCTATGCAGAACACGACCTTTCTCCAATATAGCATCTGTAACTACTGTTGATACTACGTTTTCTTCGCGATATTTTTCATGTAAAGAACTGATATGTTTATCAACATCGTCAAAAAAACGTTTTTCAGAATCATTCGACTGGTCAACAGTAGTTACAGACGTAGCAGCCATTGTAAACAAGTGAAATTTTGTTGATAGATAAAGATAGAAAGAATTGAGTGTACGTACTGATGTTAACTTTTTCTAACGTAATGTTATATTCGATATGACATAACTTGTTCTATTTATATGAAGCCACCTTACTACACATAAGCAGTCGTTCTCACAAAAGAACGAAAGAAATAAAAAACATTATTATTGCTTTGAGAGAGACTTGTACTTGTTATACTACAGTGGACCTCAATTGATTTGCACCCCTAGCCATTTTTGACGTTACTCTACTATAATTTGGTCCCTATGAGAGAGCAATATGCAGAAAGAAAGAGCAGCTTCGACCGCATCGAATGGTATATAACACCGGTATATCCGATCAACATTGAACGCTGGACAGAGAATGGAGAAAAAAGATGATGTTTTTTTCACTA